ACAAGCCGATTGTCACTACAGGTTCAGGGCCACAAGGTTTTTTTTTGCTCTGGGCTTTGGATTTGGTGATCTACGGGCTCGATCGAGGTGATCTGTGCATTTCCTTCTGAGGCAGGTTTGGTAGGTTGTTTTCCAAGGTTCTGAAGTGTTTAGCCTCGCCCGTTTGAATTCCCAAACCTAAACCGAACCTGCGCTTCAATCCGAATCAAACCGGTGCGAGAAAATATACATGTACACTGTGCACACATGTATACTTATAACACATTAAGATACTGTGTTACTGTGTTACATGCCTGAAACACACACGTCCTAAACCCTATGACCTTTATCTTTCTTTTTTTAACTTTTTTTTGTCTCCCACCCCCCGAGAGGAGTGCATGGCTCAAGCTGCCGCGGGTTTGTTGTGACCCTGCAAGTGCCAACGTCTCTATATTTTGGATGCGCTCAAGACAATCGTCTCTATCAATTGAGCCTCGCAGTGTCTCCAATAAATGGATCCACCCGGTGGTCTGGGTGCGGGCTTGCTCCGCCAATCCCTCCTTGACATACTCCTCCCCCTTCTTAAGGACCTCCCCCAGTATGCTTATGCTAAGTCCAGGGGCACTTTCGATGCTATCCTTAGGGTGCACATGCATTTTGAGGAAGTTGGAGCTTGTCTTAAAGAGAACCAGATCAACAGATTTCAGCAGCACCAGGGCAGGAAACCTCTGGGATGCATTGGAGGTCTTAGCATGTCCTTAGACCTCTCCAAAGCCTATGATCTTGCCAGTCGGCCCATCATATACCACACCCTTGCTTCCCACGGTGTTTCCCAAGACGTCATTAGTGCTATCAAGCAGCTACATTGTGATGCCCAGTACATCTTTAGATCCGGGCCCAACGTCGGCCGACACACAACCACCAACGGCTTGAAACAAGGCTGTTGCATAGCCCCTTTTCTTTGGTCCTTCTATACGGTGGCTGTGATGCATACCTTGAAGGATAGATTAGGGCCCGACTGGCTGCAGCATGCGCTTGTTCTCTTCGCCGATGATCACTGGTGTCAGTGGATCATAAGAAGCAAAGATGACTTTGAAGCCAGTCTTGCACAACTTACCATCGTCTTGGAAACCCTGTTGGATTACAAAATGTCAGTCAACTACAAGAAAACTGCAATCTTGTTAAGACTTGAGGGAAGACAGGCCAAAGCTGTGCTGCGTGAACATACCAGGATGAAAAATGGAGAAACTCATCTGTGTGTTCAGGTCAAAGGTGAGGAACAACTAATTCCTGTGAAGGAGACACACGAGCACCTTGGCACAAAGGTCACTTATCATCATAGGTTGGATAGGAATCTTGGACATCGCTTACAAGCCGGACAGACCAAGTATCAAGCCATAAGGAAGACTCTTAATGGACATCATGCCCTGCATGTTAGCCATCGACTGCGCCTATGGTCGGCCTGTATCCGCACCAGCCAGCACTACTCCCTGGCTGCTGTAGGCCTCACCCGTTCCGGTCTTGATAAGCTCACCATTGCCTCTACCCGACACATACGAGCCATACAACGGTCCCCATCTCACCTCACACACACAACAAACAATCACATTTGGCAACAAGCTGGACTCTCTAAACCTGGACAGGCTCTGCTGCAAGCCCTGCAGCGCTTCAGGGATGCCCTGCATCGGCGAGCCAGCACGGCCCCAGACATCACCACCAGAGCCGATGTGCAGGCTCATGTTGGCCGCCTCGAGGTCAAGCTGATTGATCTGCTCCAACAGCAAGACCAGCAGGATGCTCAGCTACCAGTCAATAGTGCAGAGGTGCCGTGTCCATACTGCGATGCTGTCTTTGACACTGAGAACGCCATGCGCATACACGCACAGCTCGCACATAAAGATTTGCCTCCTCGTGTTGCCAGCACGCCCACTCAGTTTGTGCCGCGGCTTCATGCTTGTGGCGGCCTCCCGCCATGCCGCCTGTTTCTCAGAACCTTTTATAGATGGCAGTATCTAAAAGAGCACATTGAAAGTGGAGCCTGCGACAAGCTGGGGGGCGAAAGCCTCACAAAACACCCTGTCAAAGCGGACTCTCAGGCCATTGCTGTGCAGCCGTCCCGTGACGACAACCCGCCCGACACAGCCACCGGAGTGTCGCAAAACGTTCCTTTGTGTGAGCGCCTGCACTTCGCTCGGCAGCGTCATGATTGGGAAGCCTTGCTGCGAGACCCGAAGCTGCACAACGATCTCCAAAGCCATTGCACGCTGTGTCACATGTGGGTTGCCTCTTTTAGACATGTTAAGCAGCACATTTGCAAGGTTCATGAGCCTGAGACTCCGGGCCTACATGACAAAGCCCTTGCTCTCTGCCTTAGCTTTAAGCAACATCTTGTTCGGGACCATCAGTGCCCTTGGTGCAAGCGCAAGGTCTGGGCCCCGGCCAGACATTCACAGCAGTGTGTTGTGTTATACCAACTCTGTGTCGCAAAAATCAGACTTGAGCTCACCCAGGATGACAGACCCCTCCCAGGGCCTCAATCCGGAAGCCGATATCTTCGCCTTCTGCAACCCCACTCTCCTGCAGTCCAAGCCAGCGCGATCGTCACCACCACAACCGAGGGACAAGGAGATCGAGGAGAGCCTGGAGGGATCAACGGAATCCACACAGCCGCCCAAGAGGCCACGGCCCGAGCCGAACCTGCTGATGGCATCCAGGCAGCAGTCCGCCTTCAATCCTCGACGCCAGCAACGCCCACCAAAGAACAACGGCCTCTCGGCAGAGGCCAGACTCATGGCCCGGATGCTGCTGTACCACGAGGACCAGTTGGCGGCACAACGAATGGACAAGGACTTCGTCCTTTTCATGCGTCAGGACTATGCCAGCATCATCCCCAATCTCCACGCCATTTCGGTGGAGTGGCATGCCAAGAAGGAGGAGGGGGCCGAGGGCCTCACCTCCTCGCTACGCACCCTGTTGCTGGCGTGCTTGGTCAAAGAACTGCTGGCCCGGGTCCAAAAGTTAGCGTCGACCCAGGAGGGTCAGGAGAAGCTCCAGCGAACAAAATGGATGGATCAGGACCAACAATGGACCTTTTTGCGGTGGTGTCACAAGACGAGGAAACTTGTGGTGGACGACAACAAGCCCAGCCTGAGTCACACAGAGCTGGTACGTCAGCTCACCTTCCTCCTCGAGAACCTTCGCGGCGACATTATCCACAAGTTCCACAGCACCAAGGGCCTGGACAAGGTGGAAGAAAATGCGTCCAATCTTCCATCCGTGACCTTTTTGTTAGGCATCTCCCTACGGGGGGAGCGGGCCCACGAGATACACGAGGTCTTGTGCAAGTTGCTGGGCTCTTCGGCCTGGCAGCTGGTGGGAGTATCAATGAAGCGGGAGGGGCTTCAGCGAGCACCGGCGGCCAAGCAGTTGGCCAAGATGCTCTTCGGCAAGTGACTCCTGCTTCCCGTGCAGCCAGCCCTCAATCGGCGGCTTTGCAGCAATTGCAGCACCACCCGTGGCATATTCCGTCATTCAGTCTGCGAAACGAGAGCAATCATTGCTATGCCATAGCCTTTCTGTATGCAATTGACATCGCTATGCATCGTACATGCCTTCGCACAGACCTGCCAGAAGTGTTGCGCTGCTTGCAAGGCTGCCAGCAGGTGCGGGTTTTTCCACATTTGGGGTTTTTGGCTTTGGGATGGCGGGAACCTGAGCGACAACACGATGTGTCAGAGTTCATTGACTTTCTGCACCCCAAGCTTCTGCCCAGGTCCTTCCTGGGGACATGGCAAGGGCGTAGATTGGTTGATAATGCCGAAATGCAGAGGACTGTGCACAACCCCACCTCCCTCTGCATTGGCCTTGGTGCACCACCCAGACATAATCCTGATGTGCAAACTCTGATCGATCACTGGTATGCACAGGATTTTCGACAAGCCTTGATGCAGCTCTCTCCATGGCTTTTCCTGCAGCTACCGCGCTTCAGGCACCAGGCTGATAGGATCGTAAAAGCCAAGCAATGCTACACACTGCCTGACACAGTGAAGGTGCCTATCTTTAGCGATTGCCATACAATGGCAGTTCAGTGGCAGCCCTACACAACAGTTGCGCTCATTTGCCATCGGGGGGCAAACCCCTCCTCAGGTCATTACTACGTGGTGACGCCGGGCCAGAGGGGATATCTTGCCCTGGACGACGACAAAAAGCCAGCCGTCGTTGGGTCTGATAACCTTAAGCAAGTCAGCCGAGAAATGTATGTCATTGTGATTGCTCTCTCACCGGCAGCTTCTCATTCGGTAGCCAGTGAACACGCCTCACTTGCTCCTTGCAACAGCAGCTCAACAGATTCAGCAGCCCCCACGGTAGGTGGCTATGGCTTCTATCTGGCTGAGGTACATGGATCTTCACGGCGAGGAATGGATTGCAAGCCAGATTTACCTTCTGGAAGTACAGCTTCGCCAGATGTGCCAGGACATGGGAATTCTGCAGCAGCGGCACAACAATCTGCACTATCAGATTTCCCTCCTCATGCGAAATCAACGCCACTTGGCCCAGCAGCTCATGTCGAAAAGCTCGCCGAACAAGTACAGACCGACCCCGCAGCTGATCGACCTCCATGAGCTGGATGATTAAACATCTGGTGAGCACCTCTGGAGTGCTCGAGCTATTCCGCAACGTGTTCGTTCGAATCATTCCATGAGATGCGCTGGAAAGAAGGAGTTGAGAGACTTTACTGCTGCAGATCGTTGAAACACTTGTACAGCACGATCCAGCTTCGCAAACTTTCGCTTTTAGACCTGCCAAAGGGCATTAGTGCCAAGCCGTGAATGTCAACGGCCGATGCGGTACGGAGTACCCATTGAGGCGCACGTTGGATAAGGGACTACCTTACCGCGCGGGAAGAAGAAGATGCTGCTGCTGCTGCTGCTGCTGCTGCTGCGCTGATGATGATGATGATGATGATGAGCCGGATGAAGAAGGTGATGCGAATGATGGTGATGAGAATTTCTTTGTGTAGAACCCTAAATATTGAATCCTTATTACCCTCAGTTTAAAACCCTATGTATATGGTGGTCAGAACACTGGTCATAGTGCCTGCACCCTAAACCCTGAAACCAAAACCCTGAATCTTGAACCCTAGACCGTAAATTAAATCCTAAATCCTAAGCCCGAATCATAATACTTATCAGAATAGCATACTGTAGTAAAGCCCTTGGATTCTCTTTGCTCCGGGCCTTGGCTACCGCGGCCTTCGGCGGCTCGGCTGCCTGCAACCAAAGCCACGATGTCAGTCGAAAAGTTGTCCAGTCGAGAATGTATACACATGTGGGTGAAAAATACACATGTTTCCGTGCATTTCTGGATATATGTATCTATGTATGTATACATAGACAGAGAGGGAGAGAGCAAACAAAAAGAGAGGTTCAAACGTTGCTTGATCGACAATATTTAAATGTGCTAGTATGTGTGAATATCAGCTGTAAGAGCTCCTTATAGTCAACAGATCAATGTACCGACTCAAAGCTACCCCAAAACCCCATTCTAGTCATCCATTGAGAGCATGGTTTGGGGAGCACAAGCTACATGAACTCACCGTTTGGGGCTGTCGAAGGCTTAGTTTCTGATGCAGAGTAAGTTTGTGTAGTGGGAGTTAGGATTAGGGAGACCCTTGGGGACATAGACCCTCTCAATAAGGTCCCTTTTAAGAGAGCCACAAGTAGGGTTCAGAAGGGTCCCCTTTAAGGGGTCTCCCTAATACTACCTAGGATGTAGTCAATATCCGTGTCACTCTTCTGGGCTGATTAGCTTCTTTGGCCAAACTTATCAAAGAATACTAATTCTATCATTATTGTTATTATGTTCATTATTATCATCACTATTATGAATAATAGTAATACTTAGAAAACTGTGCTCGGCCTTTGCAATGCAAATCTGCCGGTGCTTACAAAGCCTTTGGCAGGCAGACTTGAAATCTAATTTCCATGGTAAAACCAAAGCACATACCGCGAAATATCTAGGACCTTCGAAACCTAGTTCAAAAGCGCGACTCAACACCCTGATCCACAAACAAATCTTGGTTCCTAATCTTCCCTGAATTCTCTGCGCTTCGAAGAATAGGTGCTGGTAGTACCATTATTCGACCGTCATTACAGTCTTGCTGCGTTGTGCTTATGCACTCGTTCAGAAAAGCCCGCCCTGTCAAGGAAAAGAAAGGTCCATTCTGCTGAAGACTTGCGGTGTTTCTTGGTTTAGAGTTTGTTGTTTGTGTGGGGGCTTACGGGATTAGGGTTGCGGAGCATACATGTAGGGGGCAGAAAACAGTCCCAAGCAGGAATATGGCTGGCTCTTACATCCCCTATAAACCCTGAACGCCCTAAACCCTAAACCCCCTAAACCCTAAACCCCCCATGCAGACCCTAAACCCCCTAAACCCTAAACCCCCTAACGCCTACACCCCAAAAACGCATAGCCGTCGAAGCTGCTGGGCCTTGGCGACGCTGTTCGTCGCTACTTCGGCTTCCGGCGTTTCGGCATTCCGAAACCTGGGCTTCGTAAGCAGGCTGGGGGCACTTTTCTCCTGAGGGTATTTAAAAGAGTTTAGGGTCTAATGTTTAGGATTTAGGGGGGATCAGGGCTTAGGGTTTAGGGTTTAGGGCTTAGGGCTTACGGTTTAGGGTTTCAGGGTGTTAGGGCTCCAGAGCTTTGGCACTGAGGCCGGATGTCTTGCTGTCTTGCTGAAACCGATTGAACGTCCGACAGACTTTTTGGGAGGTGTGTGGGTCCAGTTCCAGGATTTGGGATTGAGCAGTGCACCCCCTAAATTTTGAATTTTAAACCCCTATAAATCCTAAACTGTAGGGTTCAACTCGAGGTTGGTTGGGGATTTCACGAGTTTTCAGGTGTAGTTGGTTGCTTGAAGGCTTCCAGCAGCGACCCTGAACCCCAATTCCTATGTTATCGTTGAAACAAACTGGTAAAGCCCCCTTCTAGTGGCACAGGCCCGGATGTGGCTAAGACTCGACTTTATAAAAGCACCGAAGTCCCGACTTGGAACATGCGCTGAACACCCAAGGAACATAGGCGCGGTGTTTTGGGCAATGACGCTCGCCCAACCTTCGCAAAATGTGGCTGGTTTGAGTTGACGGAATGTGCCTGGCCTGCTTTTCTTAACATTGTTGTGTTTGGGGCCGGCGAAACTTATGCCTGTCCAAGATAATCACAGACAGCACCACAAGAGCTTCGTCGTGTACTAGCAATGATGCATAGTACAAAGGCCCGCATAATCATTAAATCATACTTTCCATTTAAGTTTGGAGGTCTGAATAGCAACACCCTAAACCTCTATAACCCACCTCCCTACAGTCCCTAAATTGGCCTACTACACTTTTTCCCCAATGCTCTATTCCAACTAGCGAGGCCTCCCAGACTCATCCCCAGATAGTACCCTTAAAACAACCCTTCAAAGTAATCTAACTTGGTAAGGCCCCTAAGAAAGAGCATGGATTAGGTCACCTTCCGACCACGGCAGGGCAAGCCGGCGTGCAGGGCTAGAAGTGAATCTGTACCTAGAAATGGATGCTAGGGTTGCTTCTACTTCAGAATCCTGTGGACGAGGGGGCGTGACACGGTTCCGACGGTTTGACCGGGGGCTCAAGTAGTCACGCTAAGGGTCTGAGAGCTTCATGCTAGAAATCTTGCGGGCATCCTACGGATTAATAGAGTGCTGAATATTCGGGTGCCCCTATCCCTGAAAAGGGTGCCAGTATGGGTAGTTCTCTAAATTAGGGTCTCTTGGAGCCCTTTTTACAGGGGTGCCGTAGTATTTTGGGAACCTAGACAGGGCCCTAATTTAGAGAACTACCCTTATGTCTCTCGGTTCTCCAAGCCCGAACCGATTCTTGGCTGGAAGCTTAGAGGCTTCACTTGGTTCAAAGAAGATAGTGAAGGGGTCTGAATACTACTATCCTCGGCCCCCTAATTGCACTCCACACCGAAGTTTAATGATAAAAGCACGTATATTAACTGGAACGTCTGGGACCTGGGAGTTGAAAAGGTTAACCCAGGGCTTACGACTCAGGGCATCTCCAGGATCCTCGGTAATTATAGTGAGAGGTTGGAAGTTACTGGGTTTAGGTTTTGGGGCTTAGATTGGGTTTTATGGTTTAGGGATGTTTAGGGTTTTAGGGGTTCAGGGTTCCAGGGTTCAAGCGGCGCATCCCTTTCGTGGCCTTCTTGGCCGGCGTCGCGAGCGCGGACCCGGATGCGCCTTGGACTCCAACTCGCTCTCCATGTCTGATACATGATGGGCTTTCTAGGGGCTCTAAAGAATGAAGTTCAAAAGGCCTTGGCCACTCTCGAAGCTTTAGGGCCGAGTTAGCCTAAACACGAACTCTCTGGTTGTGGTTTTCAGCTTCAGGGTCTCCTGAAAGAATGCGGGCTAAATGTTTAGGGTTCTGAGTCGTGCGGCGGCCGGAGTTTAGTCGGGGCTTATGACCTTTACCTTTAAAGGGTTTGTGGGTTCGGGGTTGACAGACATGTCACGATCTCAAAGTTGCCCCGCAACACATCATCTGAAAGGCTCGCTGCACCGGAGCCCGCAACCAGTCGTTTTGGAGCTTCAGGTCTTCGGAGGCTTTCGCAAATTGCGAAAGACTGCGTGCCCAAAAAACCCTAAACTACTAACCCAAATCCACGACTCGACACACGAACTCTAGAGCAAGTTCGTAACACCTCTATGAGAGAAGTCAAAACTAAAAGCTGCACCATTCACCTTACCTGCTGACGGGACCTGCTCTAGAGTATGGTCCTGCTCCGAGGCTTCTATTCGGAAGAGCCCTACCCTAAACCCTAAACCC